TAATTCAATCTTACATAAAAGCTATAAATATTGTACTGAATGAGTCAAATTTCTAAACATGTTACAAAACGTTGCTCACCAATTTTGGAGAGCAGGACCACTCAGTGTGGCCATACGTAAACTATACAAAACAATAAATCTATTATAGCGTGAACTGCGTATCCTCAATGAACTTAAGAAAAACAAATGTCCATATTCTCCTGTCGTTCTTGACAGCGGTCGTGTTGCTGATCTGCCATTTATAGGTAAGCTTTCTTGACCTAAGAAATAATGATTGGCGTGGCCTGCCTATTTCCAATGGCTGTCGATCGTTTTGATGGTGAAGAATTATTCCCGTTGAAGTAAGCCTTAAAAATGTGGTGGCATTAATCTAACCGATTGAAGTTAACGATCATCATTACCCCTAAATTTCGTTCGGAATGAGAAACCAACTGCGGATTAACTGTCATTGCTTGCAAATCCATCTGACCACAATATGACTGAACCCGGATCGGTCCATCTCCTCCGCCATCGCGTGTACCTCTTAGCTACAAAACGCACTTGTTCGGCTTCTATAGCTTTTTTAAAAGATTCTGGATGATTATAGCTTTTGCGTCGTGTGATAACTCGATTTAACGCCGACAATGACTGCTATTTGCATCGATAGCCACCGCTGATCAAAAACTTGGAGCTAGCAGTTCATCTCCAAGTTAGGAGACATTTAGAAATGAAATAAAACTGCGAGTAACTCTTAGTCACAATAATCAGGTGAGATAGTATTATTAGGAACAAAGATACAAAGATAGCAATGCTTGTCAAAAAAAGTGGTCCATAAGACATTTATCAATAACATTCTCTCGCCTTATTTGAAACTCGCAGTTTACTCGCAGTTTCATTTCACTTCCTATCCGACAGCTAAAATAATAATTAACTGTGAATTAACTCCTGGTTTATTCAAAGTTAAATCATAATTTTTTTGAGCTTTAACTAGAAAAAATTCTGCTTCTTTGCGTGATAATTGCGAGCATGAAACTCAAGTTTTATTGAAGTCGGCACCTAGGAGTAGTTCGGTCATTTATCATATGATGTGATTCTGGTCACAACACACAATAAATTCGATCACATGAGGTAACTACCGATTAATATATTTAGGATGAAACTCCGACGAGAGTGTGCGGTAATGTGAGCTCCTCAACTTCCATTTATCAAGCCTTTCTCAAAAGGGTCGATCTCCAATACCACATACCACACACACACATTATCAAATGCAGTGTAGACGAATAGTCCATAATCTATCATAGTTCTATATCTATCGAGCTTTTCACCAGCGGTGTTCATTTTGCATAATCTTTGACAAGGGATCAGAACGAAAACACAGCGATTGGTTAGTTTTCAACGGGCCATCACATTCAGATAAAAGGTGGTGACACGTACAGATGACCGGCCTGCGCCCTTCTTCCACACGGCCATGTCTTGCCAGCTGATAAGATGAACCTTTCGGCAACCGTAGGTTAGAAAAGAATGAAATTACAAAGTAATCCACAGCTTACGTGCATTTCCCTGAAAGTTGGTATATATAACTATATAATTCTTAACTCTGATGATTACATCACATCATGCTATAATTTCGATTGAATTACTGCCACCTCTGGCTTCTACTGTTTCCTGCAGATGGGTAAGGCATAGCTGAAGGCAATAACCTTAGCGGATAATGTAAAACTTGAAAAGTTAATTATCCAAGTATTGCAAGTAATTTTGCGCTAATTCGATGATATAAGCAGAAGCATTCGCCCTTGTATGTCTACGTACTGCACGCGGTAAAAGATACTATGTGGCTTATATGTCACCATCGTATTTTGTCCATATGGTAGAGTTGGTGAAATAACTGGATAAATTCGCAACATGCATAGTTCGCCTATGACTAATGCAGAGATATATGTATGATATGATGTTTGATGAAGGGACTTACACAAGGGCGTGGACTCGCTGTATAAGAAGTACACTTAGGTATGACACACCTAATTTATTCAAACTTCTGTAAATGAGAATTTCTGACAGAAACGACTAGGAATTTTGCTAGAACCACTTAATAGTTTACTTGAAAAGCCAACTTTTAATCTCATCAAAATTTTGCAGTAATGAATCTTTTGGATCGTAATCTCGAAAAACTACGAGAGCAAGTAACATCCTTCAAACCGTCAACTGCTTATTATATTGCTCACGAAGCAATTTCAGCTATTGCGGTAAGTTTCTTTTTGAGCTAACAGTTGAAACGGTTTAGTGCTATGAAACAAACAGCTAAGAACCTTTGGAGTCGCTATTGGATTTGCAGTAATATCCCATTTGCATACATACGATCTGTGTTTTTTACGCTTTAAAATTTAAGTGACATTTGAATTTAGAAATAAGCATAAGGTAGCTGAAGAAATTAGATTGCACTAGATGTAGGGAAACTTACGTAGCACCCTCATCGTTTCGGACTTGCATTAGTTGTGAGAAGACTAGTAAGAGAAAGATTCACGAAAATGTTTCTAGTTTCTCCATTCCTGCAAATATGTTCATCGTGATATAAAGCTTACAAACTTCTGTATTGGAGCAGGTCCATTAGCAACACGCATATTCTTGATCGATTATGGTGACACTGTAAAGCCGGGCAAAAAAATAAGGTAATTTACCAGAAACTTGTTTAGCTTACTGATTTGAGTGTTCAGATATGGAACTCCTGACGCTTACACTTTACCTTACTGGAGCTTGGATGCGCACAAACGTCTTGCCGCTCGCGAAAAGGGGGATGCTGAATCATGGTTCTATATGCTAATCGATCTGTGAGCATTGAAATACCCTAAAACTATTGCGAATAAGAAGAACGCGCAGTTTTGAGCTCTAACAAAATTTCTCCGCAGCTGTAAGCAAATCGCAGTGTTTCAGAAACGATGATTCACTCCACACAGAAAATTTTCAAGTTCTGAACAAGAGTTTAGCTGTTATCATGAATATTGGCTTTTTGTATTGAAAACTCCGCTAAATTTTAATTGTTTTAGTTCAACTATTTCCAAGATCCAGCTAAGACGGGTTTCCAAACACCCATAGTAATAATTCATCTTCTTTAGTAATTGTTATTTTTCCAGCAATTTTAAATCTAATTTATAACACTTTATTTTTGATCAACTGAAGGAAATTGTATAAAATGTAAATTTGGGTTAAGTTTATTATGTATATAGTTATTTAGAATTTCGAGTTGTAAATTTCAGTTGTATCGCGAGGAAAAATAGCAGCCAGACTAAAATTACCTAAGTTCATTGTTTTACTTCATCATTTACGGATGTAAATGATGGAGTAAAACACTGAACCTATCTACTTTCCGAACAAAATTCAAAGATGATAAATTATGATGGCTTAATCTGGTAGCAGCAATTTCGATGCCCTAAAGATTAACGCCAAATCTTCCTCT